TTGAATACGCATGATATAGATATGATATGTATTGATGCATGCTCTAACAGAAACATTAACATATAATTGTTTAAACGCTATATTCAATTTATGTTAAGTGATATCTGAATCTGCCAATAGCTTAAATGTCTTGAAAAGAATTTACCTCTAAGGCACTTTTGCCATGCAATCGAAAGTACAAATTATTTTCACCTGGCATGCATTTGTTTGTGTGCATATGGTGTTTCTGAAGTCACGTACAAAAATACTCACCAAGCTTTACTGATCCTCCAAAAAGGGATCCTTTATCAAAAGCATCTTTCCACGTGAATGTCAGACATAACTGGAAAAAACAAACATTAGTAGTAATATGCTCAAATGACTCATTTAAAAAAAAAAATGTCTGAGATTGTGAATTTATAAGTGATACCTCTGGAAAAGGAAATTTGGGTTCGATTGCACAGAGCTGATCATAATATCTAGAGGGGAGAGACACAATGAGAAAAGAAAGGTTAAAATAGAAAGGCTGGAGAAAAACACTTTCATTTCTGTGGATGGAATTTAAACTACCCTGAAAACAATTTGGTGTAGAAACAATTTATTAAAAAATTGCTAGAATGTTTCACAAATAATTGCAAAGTAACAGCAAGTAATATTGAGTCAAACAGGAAATTTTGAATTAGAAAAACTGAAATTGTATTTTCTTGTTAAAACATACTCCAATAGTCTGTTTTAATTTCAACAGTGCATAATGTCACGAATAGTTTAGCCATGACAGTATTCTCATGTGACCGTGTCAGTCTGAACGCAAGAACCAACTGACTTAGCTGAAGTTACTCAACTTCATTGTTACAGAACTAGCTAGTGACACTTGTCACAATAACATTTCCTTCATGGAAGGAAAGAGGAGCGTTTCCCCACATCTCTGCTCCATTAAAAAATAATATATATATATATATATATATCTACAACCCCTTGCCCCTCGTCGGCACTATTAAAAGAACATGTCTGTGGACTCACGGGGGAATACCTCTTAAGTGTAGTCACGCAAACCAAACACCAGTCTAACTAGGAGCTACAAAGCAGGCCATTCATCTGGATCATTCAGCATGGCTACAAAGCAGCAAACAAAAAACGTATTCCTATAGCAACACATGGCTCATTCACATAACAGTCGGTCCCAGCCAGTACATTACCTCAACTACATTTAACCACAAATTGACATGCAGAACGTAACCACGGACTGGAGAAATAAAGTCTAATTTTAAAGTGTGTTTTTTTTTAGGTCCATTCTCGTGTTACGCAGCACGATTGAGCTTCCGCAAGAGGTTTGTTCTCGCACATCAAGCAGGTTCGGCTTCTGTTTATGTTCGCTGATCAATGTTAAAATGTGAATAAAAGACTAAATTCAATCTGTTCATCATATAAAGCGATAAAGTCTCTTCAGAAAATTTGGACTAAACCACTCAATTCATTTGGATTAGTTTTACAATCTCTTTATGAAGTTTTTGACGCATCAAAGTGGTAGTTGCGTAGCTGTCAATGGAGGGACAGAAAGCTCTCAGATTTCATCAAAAAGATCTTCATTTGTGTTTCGAAGATGAACGAAAGTCTTACGGGTTTTGGAACGACATGAGGGTGAGTAATTACTGACAGAAGTTTCGTTTTTTGGGTGAACTATCTCTTTAATATGAAGACAAGGGGGGTATCCCAGAAAGCAAGGTTAATATTTATAGAAAATGTACCATTGGGAAAAAAAATATAAAACAAATATATGGTAACATGCAACTAACCCTAAACCAACCCCTATTCCTAACCCTAACCCTAAGTAAGTACATGTAGTTAATTATTATTACTCAGTAGTTAAATGTAATATTACACTTGTAACAAGGACACTATACTGTAAGACTGAATGACTTTTCTCCATATTAAAAAAACATTGTACATTTGTCTTACATTACTCAGAGAAGTGAGAGAACTCAAATAAAATCAAAGTAAATTATTTATTTTTGACAACTTCCCAATTAATTTGCAATAAACATTTCAATACACACACCCCCAAAAAGTTATTTTAGGAGTTAAATTATGTGCTGAAACTAAAGCATGAGGCAGCAAATATGATTTTTTTTCTTTCTTACAAATTAACTATTATTTCCTATACTGTAACTGTTCTAACGCTCCATTGATCAACTGCTGGTTTACAGATACAGTATATCTTCCAAAAATAAAAACTGTACGTCACTAACACACCTGTATCCACCCCCGTCATTTCAAATATGACGTAATGGAGTCTCGAGGTCGAAGATTACGGACTCAACTGCTTAAACAACTAGGCGAGTACAATACAAACAGCTCAAAACGCAGTTTCTTCTTTATTTCAGTTATTTGCGTCGAATTATGTATCATTAAAAATTTACAATGAAAGTTTGACGAGGTCAGACTGAATGACACACCTGAGTCACGCAGAACCAGGAAGCCGGTGGCGTATGATAACGTTACATAGGTAGTTGACGCACGCAGGGACTTTTTATATTTAACTTTAAGATTTTGAGGTGAAATTTATATTAACGCGTAAATGTATATTTGAGATGATGTAATTTGTCATCTTTTTTCATGTTTGTCACCATTTTAATAACCTTTTTGGGATAACTAGTTAATTTTTAATGATCACTGGGTGTGACAAATGAATTTTAAAAGTACAAATATTCTTGGTAGGCTCTCAATTAATACAAGTATGTATTATATATATGTAGGGTTTTAGAAAGAGTAGCATATAACACCACATTATGTCAACTTCCCCAAAAAATACTGAAAACCACACATCACGCTAAACAAATATGTGGACTGTAAACAGTAAAACAATTAAACATACTACCAACATGCCATACCAACATGAGCAACAACACCAGTTTACGTTTACCATTTATATGAAGCCAATAAAAACAGATAAGGTCACCAACGGTAGTCATCACTTAGCTAAACTCTTGACGAAACTATTTCTGCTATTTAATGACATAAAAACTGTTTCATTTAGCTAGCTTCGTGTAACTTAACTCACAGCTTCTGATATCCGCTAAAGGATAATAATCAGCACTTCAGCAAATTACATAGATGAATTAACTATCTACGCCATAGGTAGCAGAAATGAACACCCTGAAGTAGTCTTGTCAGGCTCTCACCGAAGCAGGATTTCCAGCGAGCTCTCGTGTTTGTCCAGCGGCCTCCCCAGAGCACTTTTGCGGAGCTTGTTGAGCTCTTCCACGGCACGGACATACTCCGCCTGCTCCTCACCGGGAGGATACGTGGCAGTTACAAATTTCAACAACGGTTTCGCTAAGTCGACCTCTGAGGACTTTTTCAACGGGACAGAAATAAAAGTCGCCATTTAGGCCCGCGGGAACGACACGGTTCTAGTGGAAAATGAGAAGACTGCAGACGGACAAAAACAAAGGCTGAGCACTTCCTGGTTCTCTTGAGTGCGTCATCGCGTCAGATGTACTGTCAAAGTCACGCATGCGCATTCGAGAGCCGTTCCTGCAGTCTCCAGTAGAAGTACTGAGTAATTTTAAATTAAGTACATGTACTTACTAGGGTTAGGGTAGGAGTAGGATTGGTATTTGGTTTAGGGCATGTAATTATGCTTAATTACTATATTAAATACATTAAACATGTGTAACAAGGACACATTAAAATAAAGTGTTACCGACTTGAATCACTTTTAGTAATTTTTATTTAGAATTCACTTAATTGGACAATGTCTCACAAATTAAGAGAAATTCCCAGTTTGATCCACATAGGAATTCACTGGTTCAAGGCTTTAACTATAGGGGAGAGAGTATAAGTTTACACTGACACATCTTACCCCATGACTCATCCATTTAGTCATGGCCTATTACATACAGTTACCTGTAATTCAGAAGCATTGCAAAAGTGATACCTATTTGTTTATTGTAAAACATTTAGGATAAAGTTTATTTTCTACATTGCAAAATGAATTTACCCAACAGGTCTAAAAATACATCTTATATATGTTGGTGAAATACCAATGTATTAAACCATTTTAATTATTTGGCTAAATATTAACCTTAAATTATTAGATTAAGCATTTTTCCCATAATGATAGCTTTGCCTTTGTTCAACAGAAGTTGCAATTGTCTTTTCTTCCATATTGTGACGCATATATCCTAAAGAAACCTTCTCGAACTAGAAAAAAAATCTAGGGCGGGGCTTGATTTTGTCCATGAGAAATTGATTGAATGGTTATGGTTTGCTATTGGTGGATCTCATGTGAGTGACAGGTTGCCCCACCCTCACGCCAGTAAACATCATCATCAGTGATGAGATTTCGCTGCAAGACAGAGAGGAAGTAATTTTAATTAAAGATTACAAGGGCACATGAATTAAAAAAAGATGTGCACAATTATATTAAATACTACAATATTTTCTATTTGATTTCATGGTGATTTTAAATGCATACTATTACAAAATGGCCCGTGTAATAAATGTCTTTTGTTTGCAGACATCCGTAACGTATATAAACAATGTAATGTAATGCGAGTATTATTTTAACCATTAATTTCTCCTTGCCCACAAAAAAAAAGCCATTCAATTTTTAAAGCATTACCCTCTCACTTTCGATTATAGTAAACACTCCAGAGACAACATATGAAAATTATTTTTATTTTGGTACAGGCATTAATTGTGTACATCTCAGCACCCCTATGGAAGAGAGGCTTCTTTAGACAAGACAGTGACGTGAGGGCACCATGATTATCATCACGGAAACACAGAGGACAGTCCGATGATCCACAGCATTTGATCTGAGGAAGAGAACAACGCACCTCTCCATGTGTTCAGACTTTGATCATTTGTTCAACCTGGAAACGTCACACGTACACCAAAAGTCTAAGTGAGCATCCAACGACAGCAAGGTATCAAACGGCGTGACATTTTATTGTGGTTTCGGTTTCAGTGCAGACTTGGCCATTCCTTTTTAAATTTTTTTTTTTTTTTGAGAATTAACATTCTTACAACCATGCTCCTCTATAAAGTGGCAATCATAAGCACAGTACATGCCAAAGCACAGCTGCCCGATACATGACTACTGAGATCGACAGTCAGTCTCTATTCAAGAAAGAAAAAAGTTTTTAAAAAAGAAAATAAAAGAAAGGCTGGCTGGTTTAACTGGAGCAGCTGACTGTAAACCATGAGAAAAGCACCAGTCAACATCATATTCTAGGCCAAAAAGGTACAAATTAAAAGAATGCAAAGGCATTATGGGAAATATAATTTACGGAGGCTTGTGATTGTGCTCGTTTATCAATAATCGTGTTATAATCCGTGCCAGGAGCTACTATAAAGGGCAGTGTTAGTTACCAGGCACAGAAAATATAAAGCACAACCATCAATCTAAAAATCCTACAAATCCCATTATTTAATTCTAAACGTGTGGAACTAGCTGACACTTAATTCATCTGGCTAAGCACAACGTAAATGCTAAGAAACTAACCGAATATAGTCAACAGAGGAAATGATGGCACCAGAAACGATTGGTCTCGAGAGAGGAAATCAGCACTGACGAGAGTAGGATACAGCCAAAACTTCTCACAACCTCATGTTAGTACTCGAACTCAAGGAATTATTTCATCCATATAGACAGACATAAAGACGTCCTGCGCATGCCGAAGTCAGGACACGGTTCCCCACATTTGAACGAGAGGTCGTCACTGTCTACCGAGGGGTTGCGATGGCGTCTGCAGGGCAGGCCGCGAAACGCTTGACAACTCACAGACAAAAGGCCAACAAACTCAGGTAAGTACTGCACGTTCACACCTAGCAAAGTGAGGACAGAGTCTGAGCCGTATCGGCGCCGGATGCTCGGGTTCTTCCACCAATAAGTAAAAGTGGTCACAGTTCTCTTCCACTTCCTTGCGGTTTCCGCTCACCTCCATCCCCTCCCGATTCAACCTTTAAAAACTCACTCGCACACACACACTTAAAAGCCCACCGCTTGCACACACTGGCATCAGTTTAAGTGTTTTCAATATGAAACAATTTACACACTGAAGTCAGATTCTAACAGTTAGGAGGCCCTGTCCAACCCCGGCGATCTCTCCGACGTCTGAGACGTGAAGAACGAGAGAGAGAGAGATAAGGAAAGGAGGAGAGAGGAGGATGGAGGGAACTCGCTCAATGCTCGAGAGCGGCAGTATGAAGCCTTGTGATGTCATCGCACTCTCTGCTTCACGTAAGGCAGATCTACTTCAGAACGAGGTGAAACCCATCACTGGTGTCATCTGAGGAAGAGACAGTCAGAGAGATGATGTGGAGAACAGGAAATGCATCGAGAGGATTTATTTGAAACTTTTTTTGGTGTTATGAGAAAATGTTTCACCTTGTATTGTGCTGACAATGAAACTGCTCTCATCAAGGAAGTTATAAACCACCTGTAAGAGAAAAAAAGAAAAGAGTATCATATATATGAGGACATAATTGAGTTACTAAGATCTTGTTCATGCTACAGTGATCTGATCTGTTTTCCAAACCTGATCTTCAGAACTGACTGATTTTTTTAAGTGATTCAATTACATCAGTTTGTTCAATGTAATCAATATCATTATTGCTATAATAACTACTTTTATATTAAAACATACAACAGTAGCTGTCAATGTTAACAGCTGACATTGGTTTTGTAAAAAAAGAAGTTTTTTTGTTCTTAGCAAAAAAAAAAAAAATTTATAATTAATAAATCATATTTATATGATGTACGTACACTACTGTTCAAAAGTTTGGGATCTTCTTGAGAGAAATTAATACTTTTATTCAGCAAGAACACATTTAATTGATCAAATGCGTCAACAAAAGGCATTTATATTGTTATAAAAAATTACCATTTCAAATAAATGCTGTTCTTTTGAACTTTATATTCACTAAAGATTCCTCAAAAAAACGTATCATGGTTCCCACAAAAATATGAAGCAGCAAAACCGTTTTCAACATTGATAATAATCAGAAATATTTCATGTGACACTGAAGACTGGAGAGCTTGATCTCAGGAATAAATTACATCTTAAAATATATTCAAATAGAAAACAGTTATTTCAAATTGTAATAATATTTCAATGTATTTTAATGTATTTTTGAACAAATAAAGGCAGGCTTGGTGAGCAGAAGAGACTCTTTCAAAAACCATTGACAAATCTAACTGACACCAAACTTTTGGACGGTAGTGCATGTATATTAGACTATATAATATTATATATATATACATATATGCATCACAATCAATTTATATTGCTTCAGTCTGTTTTAACAGTACATGATGTTACCATTCATTAGACAAATCAGTCACATGATGTTTCTCACCGACATCTCCCATTCATGGCAAACGATAACAGCACAAAAAAGCCCACAATGAAGTGTGTTTTATCTGTGGCATGATGCAAAACATTATTCAAATGAGCAGCCATGGTTGGCCAGCTTACACGCGGCACCTGATAACAGGGAAAGAGAAGAGATTGTGTTTGGTGTGTGTTTACCTGGTCACTGAGTAGTATGTGTATCCCTGTAGGCCCCTGTTTGTAGACTTGGTTGATGTGGACCATCGGCAGCGCCAAGACACTGGAGATTTTCTGAGTGAGCTCACAAGCGGTCATCTCCTCAAGGTAAAGCGCATGGTAAACTAAACAAACACAGACACACTTTAAAACAAGACCAATGATGATGGAGGATTGAATATTTCACAGGACAAAGCCTAAATTAAAACATTACATCTGCAGAACCAAAAGCATACGGGAAGAGTTTGACCTAATTCATAAAAGACAAACAGGATTAATCATTTTAGTGAACACTTTATTTTAAGGTGTCCTTGTTATAGTGTAATTTTACATTTAAGTACTGAGTAATATTTATTAACAACATGTACTTATTATAGGGTTAGGGTTCAAATTAGGGTGTGTTTTAGAGTTAGTTGCATGTAATTATGCATTATTACTCTAGTAACTACATGTAACGTGTCACAAGAACACTACAATAAAGTGTTACAGAGTAGAGTTTGGTTGCTTATAATTATGCATAATTAACTGTTATTATAACTATAGTAAATACATGTCCCGTGTAACGAAGACACTGTAAAATAAAGTCTTACCCAACTTTACATTAGGCTGTGATACGATGTGTGATAAAGCAGTAATAAAAGTATTTTTCCAACCAGCAAAACAACCATACACATATTTTAGACTTCGGTGACCTTCTTTTCTTGGTAAATGAGTTTGGGGTCTGACCCGAGAGGTTAAACTACATCAGTTATTAGAAGCGGCTATAGAGAGAACCGTGTCGGGTTTGAGTTGTGGTCGTGTTGTTGTCAATCACATTTATTTATATAGTGCTTTATACAATCCATTATATGTTTATTGTTGCTTGCTGGGTCAAATATCAGTTGTTATGGTTTTGTGCTTTAGAGGGCAGCATGAGGAAGATATTGTTGTTTTTCTCAACGTGGCTTTTGCGGCATCTTTATCTCATAAGCTGCTGTTTAATAGTTTGGGGATGGTAAGATTTTTACATGTTAATGAAAGTTTAAATCACCGATTATGCATTTATTTAATCAAAAATACATTAAAACCATAATATTGTGAAATAGTTTTAGAATTTAAAATAACTTTACCATTTGAATGCATTTTAATTGCATTGCATTTCATTACTCCAGTCTTCAGTGTCACATGATCCTTCAGAAATCACTCTAATATGATATCTGATATGTGCTGCTTAAGAAACAATTCTGATTATCAATATATTATGTCATGCTGCAACATTTTTGTGGAAACGGACTTTTTTCTTTCAGGATTCTTTAAGTTGAATGAATAGAAAGTTCAAAAGAAGAGCATTTTTTTTGTAATTTAATGCATCCTTGCTGCTTAATTAAAAAAGAAAAAATGCTAGTTGGTCTCATGTCTGTCCAACAATTTTCAAACAGTTTAAATACCGTAATATAATTATGCTCAAATTTCTGACTAAAATCCAGTAATCATTAGAATAAGGTTCATTAATATGAATGCCATTTTATGTCACCAATGTAAAAACAAAACCCTGTGAATTTTAAATTTAGTCATTCGGCTTATGGTTTTCACATCATGTGGTTTATAGTGCATCCGGAAACATTTTGGTTCAACAATAATAGATAGTAGTTTTTGAAAGATCATTATGATAGATCAAGCAATTCTGTGTTGCTGAATGATGCTGCACTGCATGTTTGTTGTTGCAAAACGATAGATGCTCCGTGATTGTGCTATGTTAGGAACGCATGTGCAAGTTTCCACGATTGATATTTCTATACCGGGTATGGATGCGCGACTGCTGTGTTCGCCGTTTTTGCTGCGGCCACGTTTCTCCAGCAGAGGGCTCTCGCTCAGGGACGACTCCAGAGACACGTAGACCGTGAGTCTAGGACGCACTGCTCTGTACAGGGACACAAACACACACAATGTGAACAAATCTTCCGTTCACTCTTTCATAAGTGTAAAACAAACACATCAGTTATATTTAACATCACTCTTTTTTTATCCTACCGTGCTTTAAGTGCATTGTAGAGTCTGATTCCATCGGCCGCACCACAAATTTGGACTAAATCGTCACGAGTTAATTTCAGTAGATCAGAACCTAAGATGGGAAAACACCAATTGGTCTCATTATTGACTACTTTTAGTTTAATGTTGTGTCTATTAGGGCTGGGTATGGTCAAAGATTTCCTAGAAAACGTTCTGATTAAGAAATTCTCTATGCCACTAAATTTAGATTCAGTCTGATTTTTTATTTCTCTTCTATGGTCCATTTTACTTACATTTGAAAGAGACTTATTTATACAGGCAGGTGTTTCAGACTGATTCTAACTGGTCACTATTTTTACCCAGCCCTAGTGTAGTTTAACTTTTGCACTAAAAGCTGGTCATGTGCATGTGTAAATACCTGAGAAATGGGTGAAAATGCGAGTGTATGAGTTGAATCTGTTCTTAAGGAGCCACTTCTGTGCGTCTTGTATAGAGGATGTGGGACTCAGAGACTGCAGAAAGTTCAAAGACTGAATTATTTTCATTTAAAGGTGCAATTGCAACTTAAGGTGCAGTTAGAAAAAATATGACATGCAAACAGACTAACCTCCACAGACACGGGGCTCCCAGCATCCCCTTGGTGGTTAGGTGAAGATGACTCACTAAAAACAAAGGTAAAAGCGTTAGACAATGCATAACTGTGGTTCACGGCACACAGAGATGCTGCACGAGTGTCACCTGTCTGGTACTGTGCTGCTAGTAGTGCTGTAGGAGTTTGTGCTGGAGGTGAAGGTCGGTGTAGCTGCTGTGATGGGGTTGACGTACGCATTATCTGGCCATGGAGAACACTGCAGTGGGAGAAGGAGAGATACGTGACAAGTCAAAAGTGAACCTAAATAAAAGTGTTAGTGTATCTCTGATGTCACACTAATGCAAGTTCCCCCGACACAACATTGTTGTAGTCGACTGGTGGTCGTTCATTTAAGCCATTAGTCGCATGTTTATAATATTAATTTATGCAGTGTCGGGTCGGCTGCAAATCAATCAGCTCCCTAGGTAGTGAATCAGTATAGTGTACATGAATTCGAGCACTGGTAAGTACAGTACAGTACAGTACAGTAGGGACCCTGGCTCAATACACATTGCGACACTGATAGTGACATGACAACGTCCTTGTTAAGATTGCGCCGGCGGATGGAGAAAGGGATGAGGGAAACCGCCCAGTAAGGTTTGAGGGTGGTCCCACAATAAATGTGCAAAAAAAAGTTAAATAGGAACTGTACAATATTTACAATATATAACAAGATCAGCTAAATCTAAATCCAAAGATCTGATCTGCGTATACAGTAAGCTCAAACAGCACTTCCCTTTACTATCACTCTGACCTGTTACACACACTAACTTGAATCTGCAGTTCTATGCACTGCATTTGTTTGAACAAATTCAAACAAAAGTACATATTTACAGATACGACAGATGTAATCTTCCAGTACGTCACACGCAACAGATGTGCTGCTCAGATAGTGCAAATACACTGAATAAATGAACCTGGTTTTTAACTGCAAGTGTATTTGTAACATTTATGCCGCTGTTCTCAATAAACGATACGGACCAGCTGAAAATGGTGATGTGATTATTTCTGTTAGTAATGAAAAGATAAACGATTCTGTTATTATACAATATACGCTTTAGTTGATTCATATACCGGTATATAGACACGCAAGAAACATAACCACGTAACTGTACACATAGACTTAATATATAGGATATAATACACAACAACGCCCCGGAATATTAAACACAATACGCTCAAACGCTACAAAGATCCGTCTGTACATGATCATCAGTGTCGGCAAACAGACCGTGTTAACATGGCGTCTGTGTATGTCAAGTCAAGTCAAGTCATCTTCATTTATATAGCGCTTTTAACAATGGAGATTGTTTCAAAGCAGCTTTACAGAGATAAACATACAATTTACGGTCACAGAGACTGTTTTGGCTTTATAGCGATTTTTGAATAGTGTTATTTCCAGCTAAAGTTGGTTTTGATTGATTCACTTCCCGCAAAATTATCATTTGTTATTACATTAGGGGCCACTAAGACGACGGCGTTCTCTCTAAACAGACTTTAAACGCGAACCTGTGACCTGATGGCGTTCACATGCGCATTCAAAATTGATTCTATAGTTAAATTCGTTTGAATATGTGTGCGCAGGTTTGTAATTTCCCAACAAACCATGCCTAAAACTACTTGTCTTGCCTATAAATTTGATACAGAATTTTATTTTATCACTTCGAGGTACGCGAACCGGATTTTCAACAACGCTTTATCTGTAGAGTGGGAAAGGGATCCTCCATAGGGAGAGGATAGTTGACACTTCAGCACTGCATTAGTTTTAGTCCTGCTCCGCTTCACGTTCACATTGCTTTTTCTAACACCAAACCTAAAGATAATGAATCTAAAAGCATAGGGATGTGTATGTGTGTGTGTGTGTACTCAGTCCATGTGTAGTCACAGGAATACACAGTGACAACATCACTACAGCAGAACAGATATTTTTCTGACATTTTTAAATGCTATTTAAAGTACATTATGATAAATAAATACTTTGATTTTTGATATTACCTGCACCATTTCAGCCATAAATTAACTAAAGAATGTAAGCTAGGTGATTACATTTAGTACCTGTCCAGGAATGTATTCTGAAATATAATTACGGGTGTGTTGAGATTGTGAACATATCCCTATGCTTTTAGATTCATTATCTTTAGGTTTGGTGTTAGAAAAAGCACTGTGAACATTAAGTGGACCAGGACTAAAACTAACCAAGCGAAACAGAACTACAAGTGTGAACAAACCCTGTTATTTTCGAAGCTATCGTGTCATGATGCGTATTGAGTTTGCTGACAAGATTTGTTTTGCGCTTTAGCACTTTCGTTAATGGAACAGTAAACATCAATGCTATCTGGTTTTCACGGTGCATTGTGGGACATTGAGGTAGTGGACGTTTAGTGCACTGGAAGGATTTTGCGATTGAGACGGCTCTTAAATGGCCGACTCCTTAATCAGTGCCCTGACTAGTGAACCCTAGGACAACAGAGTGAGCTGCCATGTAAAGTGGCTTACGTTAGGCTACTACATACATGTTTCAAATGGTCAAAGAATGTTTGCACATCACCTTTTCGTGGTCATCCTTTACCATCTCGATATGATCCTACACTTTGGATTTCCTGCCCAACACAATTACCACATGCGTACTGGAGTTTATGGAGTATATTTTTAACTAACGTTTAGTGGACTATCAGTTCTAGACCCGACCCACTGATGAAGAAGACTGATCTACAAACAAATATGGACAAAGGTTTGGAGTCTGGAATGAGTGAACTGAACACAGAAGAGGAGAGTGGGCGCTTACACTTCCTCTCTTGCTTTTGGCGATGGAATCTCCACAGTCTGCAGGAAGTGTCCGCTTGCTAGATTTCTTTAGCTCATGTTCCACAGCCTCCTCAATCACAGGCTCCAATCGAGTCTACGCACACAAGTGAACACATCAGTCAAACAGACACACATGTATATTTGAATCAAGTTAAAGGAGCAAAGTCTTTTTTAAACTAAATACCCCCGGCCTAAAAAAACTTGTTTTGGCGTCCTTGCTACTAGAACAGGAAGTCTAAGAAAAACATTAAAGGGCTCGTCCCTTCTTTTTTTTTTAAACAGCCGATTAATGTGTAAGCCATGAACCGTGATTTGCCTCTTGCTTGTCACAGGAGGTATAAGCGGTATATATTCTTTCTCTAAAAAGTTTAAATCCTATAGAAATGAATAGTATTTAAACTATGTTTAAAATGATGTACTTTGACATTAGGGATGTCACGGTGAGGAAATTCACACACCGGTAAATAAACTGGTATTACCGATAACACCAGGGGGTGGAGTCATCGTCTGTAATTTGCATGCATTAGCGAGCCGCTAATATGCGCGGTATTGAAATCGCTTTTGAATTCGAAGTCGCGATCACGCGGCGGTATTGACCGCACATATTACAAGATAAGATTTGTCAATTACGCTCAGGATCTGTTACGCACCAAATCCTCTGTCCATCGTGCTGTCAGTCATCTCTTCTGACTCTCATCATGTGAAACCTGACTCCTGCTGCGACTCTGCAGCTCGTGCTGTATATGGAGCAGAGCAGACGCTTTCAGTTTAGAATCGTAGTGTCGATTGTCCAACTGAACTAAATTATTTTTATTTCTATAAAAAAGCAAAACGGCAGTGGAGATGGTGTCGGGGTGGGCAAATAGTGTAATCGTTGTACACCGCATAACACTGACTACTGCTGCAAGCCTATTGGACATGGGATGAAGACTCAGCTTATTTTAGGCCTCTGATATTAAACTCGACATAAGGTGATTCCTGCCACATGCTGGGTGTAACATGACCAGCTAAACACTATTCACTTTAGCAAGCCCTCATTATCGGACTAAATTAATCACATGTGACAAACATCTATGAATAGGCCTTTTCTACAATCAGTAGCCGAACACTTTTTTTTTTTTTGCGCGGCTGCATCCACACCAATAGATGCCAGAGTAAAATCCAAGATCACTGTCATTTCATTGTGTAGGAAAACAAGCCAACAAAACGTTACTTAAATATTCTTGCCTCTGACAGAATAGTGGTATCATAAGAGGGCTGATATTTCTCTTTCTCCTGCGGAGTCCTTTTCTCCATCTTCTCTCGGTCCGTTTTTTGTTTTCTGTCTGCTCCCTTTGGCTGTTTATAGCAAGACAAGAGAAACACTTTAGTGCATCCTGAAGACTTATGTCATATTAATGATTAAAAACAAGCTTTTTAACAACATAAGCATTCAGTTTAGTAGAAATAAGTGGGGTATGAATTCAAACCTGAGGTCTTTAACCAAATATACATTTCCTTGCATTTGATGCATGCTTGCATGCATGTGACGTCACCTTAAAGACTTTGATCTGGCAGCTGGCAGAGTGCAGGTGCTCAGTGTATTCTCCGCTTTCATTTTGTTTAAAGGTGTCGATCTGGATCCGGAACGGAACTCCTTTCTCTCCGCCGTGTTTCCGTGGGGTGAACTCTGTACTGATGCAATGGACCTTCAACGAGAGAAGGAAGGAAAGAAAGATAATTAACGTGGAGCACATGATCGCTTCCTGGAGCAGTTTTGAGATTATCCTCGGCATGCATTACACGATTTCTGCACAGATTAGGATGTGCCAGATACGGTTTTAATCAACTGGAATGATATTCATATGTTTGAAACTTGATCAGACGCTTCCAAGGTCAAGAGATAATGTCAGAGTCAGTGGGCCAAATCAGACGCTTTCCAACATGTCTGGGACATTTAGATCATCTCAAACATCCTCACTCTATTGGAAAAACATCTGCATCGCTCCTTTGAGAGTGATGGAGAATTTCTGGCCAATGAGATTGTGCTTTAGGCCTGTTCTATTCATTAACTACACCAAACAGCTGTGGGTATCTTGACGCACCAGTAAATGTCTAACTGCATATTTATGTGCTTATACTTAGTGATATTATACAGGAGCATCTTGCATAAGAAAGACAGAAGCACCATCAAGCAGACAGTGAATGGATATTCAACCAATAGCATTTAATGTCCAGAATATGATGGCAACATTACCGAATATTCCTATCAGTCTAGATATCAATGTCTGAACAGACAACTAAACAAAATGTAATTCACTAGAGGTTCTGAAAAAATGTTAATTGCTGCAGTCTATTTAAAATATTTAAATTTATCTGAATGAATTATCTTTTAAAATCAGTTTGAATGAATGATTCAATGACTCACTTACAAAGACTTCTCATGTTTCATTACTGGATCAGAACTAATCTCTTGAATGAATGGTTCAATGAGACATGCATTTTTAAGAGTCTTTTGTCGCAACCTATTGGCGTAACGATGTAATCGATACAATACTTGAAGCGTCAATGTAATTTACTCTTATTTAATTCGCTACCGTAGACATCAGTGTTTATATCTGAACTATAAACTTTTATCCTAGTACTTCTGTGATCATTTCATAGTGATACTGTGTGGTTGAAAAGACTGTTTGTGAAGCTATTTCATATCTATACATGACAGATCTGAATGTTCGCTGTGATCGTACTTGTCAAAGGTTTGATAGACAAAGCCGAATTGTTGTCATTTAGGAATAAGATTGCATGGGTGTTTGAATCGAGATCATGATCTTTTAATGATTAACCGTGCAGCTCTACCACAGACCTTATTTTAATCAGAAATTGAATAACCCCATTATAAAACCTCAGAGGAAAATCTCGAGGGAACCAGTCTTTTGGGTTTTGACGTTATTCCGGCAGCACAGACAAAATCAAGTCCCTCCTTACATTTTTGTAGTTCGAGAAGCCATTTCATTCGGATATGCGTCACAATGGCGAAGAAAAGACTATCGCAACTTCCGTTTCATGCTGACTTTAACCTTTAAACCACCACAACATGCCAGAGTGTTTGCTTGTGTGTACCTGCACAAACACAGAGGCTCGTTTGGAAAGATCCCACAGGAACTCTGCTGCGTTTAGCTGTGACGTGTGTGTGTTGGGCTCGGTGATGCCAACTGACATGGGGATATCTGTAACAGACACATGACGCACAGTAAAAACTCCCTCTCCTGAGGCTTTATGCTGCTTTGAAACGCTTATCCTGAAACAAACAAAAAACAGATTGAACAAAATGATGACAGCAAACTAATGTAATCACACAACAAGCTCTCACCGATGTCGAGGAGGCGGTCGCCAGGCCGATTCCATTTCCAGCCCTCCAGCTGCTGATGCTCCATGTACTGAAGCCTTCGGTCATGGAAAACCACCCTAACTAAACTCTATAATTCACCCCAAACCAAACACACACAAACACAAAACCATCAGGACAAGCAGCACTCTTAAAGAGCCATACACCACACCAGTCCTTCCTGCACCGCTGGATCTACTGCACCACGGCAAAAGAAAGGAGTTGTGAGCTTTTAGCCTAAATTTGATATAAAACATTGTGTAAACGTCCATTGCATCTTTACTTGCTGCTCTCAAAAACACAAAAACAGCAAGACTTGCGGTCAACTGAGTGAAGGATTCCTCAGACTGATTCAAAACAGTAATTTGTGATGCGATTCATTGGTTGTGATTCAGATTAGATTGGTCATGCTGTACATTTGTTTCTGTACGCGGCAAGCAAAGACAACGCAAAATAAATATGGTCTATTTACTGTTCAAATGTTTGGGGTGAGTAAGATCGCGGTTTTGAAAGAAACTAATATTTTTTTCAGCATTCATGCATCAATTGCATAAATTCATGCATAAATTGTTTACAAATTGACAGTAAAGACATTTATGTTACAACAGATTTCCATTTCAAATAAATGGTGTTCTTTTGAACTTTCAACGTTGATAATCAGAAATGTTTCTTGAGCAGCAAATCATCATATTAGAATGATTTCTGAAGGATCATGTGACACTGAAGACTGGAGTAATGATGCTGACAATTCCTTTGCATCAGGAACAAATTACATTTACTTTAATTAGTAATAATATTTCACAATATTACTGTTTTTACTGTATTTTGATCAAACAAATGGAGCCTTGGCGAGCATAAGAGACTTAGAGACAATAGTGTCTTTTTTTCCAATTCACCTTTTTTACTTAATTGGTTAGCAATTATTAATGGTCATATTTACAGATAACTGGCATCCAGCAACACCATGACACAACTGTGCCAGTGAACAACACTGTTCACAAATAATTGAGTATTTAAATGTATTGCTTCTTCCATACATTTTTGTTGTTGAAATGGTTTATTATTCAATGCAGTATTATAACACAGCCATTCACTTTCAGAGGTTTGTGATCAACCATTTAGACATTAAAAATATAAAACAATAAATCAAACATTTAAGCACAATAAAAACACTTAAATCTAAAAATAATCAGTTTCATATTGGTCATAACATATTGGTTGATCTTTATTTGCATCATTCTGCAAAACACTTTTGTTGTTGTAGTAGACCAAAATAAATTTGATCAAAACTCTCAAACTGAGTTAAATATAATGTTGCTGTCTGGCAGACACCTTATTTTTTTCCATAAATCATTACTATTGGTCGCCCTTTACGTCTGTCTGTGGGTTTAGCAAATATTAAGCCAACTAAAAGTATTGAAAAGAGCTTGTGACTAAACCTCGTAACTCCATTGGATCCTCAAACTGTCAGTCAATCCTCATAACTCCACCCACCTCTATCATGAATGAAGTGCCAAACACATTGTGGAGCGTCTCTGCTTGTTTGCAATGCAAGGGTAAATAAACAACTGGTTGTTTGAATAAGTAAAGCGTTTTCTTTACCCAAGAAACACTATATATATATATATATATATATATATATATATATATATATATATATATAAAGGCTAATGTTTTATGTATTTGATGAGCGGAGAAGAGCATCTTAGTATAGCATTTGTTGTCCAGTCACAGCCAATATTGTCTTCAATAGACTGTGTGAAGCACTTCATCTTTTATAACATGAGATTTTGGTCAAATGACAGGAAAAACTGAGCGTCCACATAGCTACAATAAACCTTATAACCTGTAAGATGATGAAAATGTAATGCGATACACTTACTGCCTCAGATGCAGATGTTCTAATGACGGATAAAACACGCGTGTCTGATCTTTGCTGGTCAAAAACCGCGTAACTCCATTTGAGCTTGATTTCGGTGAAATGTTAATAATACAATGACACGTGCAAGTTTCTGACCATATATAAAGCCACAATATCAACTTTGACAACACAGTGTTTAATTATTTACAAAAATACTGTGCCTTTTCCATTTCCTGAAAAGCATCAGTTTTGGACAGGCTTCCGCCCGGCGACAGCAATTATTTATTTAACCACAGCGCTGTAGATTCACTGGTGCAGGAGACGCCACACTACACGAAACCTCAAGCGCACTGCACTGACAAAACACACATGATCTCTCACCTTCACAGTCTTGTTGAGTTCAGGCATCTCCCCTATTTTCCTGTTATCAAGCATTCGGATCTCATAAGACTGGCCTGCATGGGAGGGGAAAGTGTGTTATTGAAAACATCCTCTGTCTGCGTGTTCTTGCAGGGATAGAGAAAGAAACGACATGCCTTGGTTCAGGTAGGTGAGCGTCTCCTCGTGAAGCTTCACAGCAGGAGAGGTGGCGGCACACAGCACATACTGAAACGGAGGATTCTTGTCAGACTCCACGGGAACGCTAACATCTTCCTGCTTAAAGATGGGCAGAGCCAACACATCACTGAGAAACAAAGACAGACACACAGAGAAACAGAAGTTATGAAACTGTGAATTATGTTGGTTAGGACCACAGACCCTCTTCAGTCAGAATGGAAATGGCTGTCATGGAAACAGGTATATGGGAGCACGCTTTCACCTATAGACACTTTAAAAACCACACAACACATGATCGCTCGTTCACACTTCCGAACCACAAAGAGCAAATGTTCTTATCAAACTACTCTATGCACTACTGTTAAAAACAGTAGGGGGCAGTACAATTTCAACGGTTTACAACATAGACGATGATCAGAAATGTTTCTTGAGCAGCATATCATCATATTAGAATGATTTCTGAAGGATCATGTGACACTGAAGACTGGAGTAATGATGCTGAAAATTCAGCTTTGATCACACGAATAAATGACATTTTAAAATATATTACAATAGAAAAGTGTTCTTTTAAATGGTAATAATATTCCACAATATTGCTGTTTTTTCTGTATTTTTAATTAAATAAATGCAGCCTTGGTGAGCATAAGAGAAGAAACTTCATTCAAAAACATTAAAAAAAATCTTAAAGACCCCAAGAATGTGTGTCACGAAATTAATAACAATTAAAGTGCCCCTATTATGATATTTTAAAGGTTCCTAATTTTGTTTTGGATATACTGGTTGTAGTAGAGTATTAATAAACATCCTCCGAGTAGACATAACTTGGTTGTGCTGAAATGACAACAAGCCAAAGTCAAAAACACTTTCATTTTCTCATAATATACATTGCACTTTACCTCATTTCTCAAAGAGTCTGAAAACGGTTCAAAGATTCAGTCTCTAAACCCCGCCTTTCTGAAAGTCTGCTCTGATTGGTCAGACGGCCCAGTCTGTTGTGATTGGTCGACCGCTTACGGTGTGTGTCAGAAACAAAACGCCCATTACTATGTGAATTTCAGCTCCGGAAGCTTCCTCAGTGCTCGACACACAGTGATATGATATCAACAGGAATGATAGCGTTGGTTTTCCGTATCAATTCCAGCACGAGTTCTCATCCTTTGGAAGAGCATTAAAGTGGATTTGCAGCAAAAACAGCGTCTTCTCAACATGCTGACAATATAACCCAAACTCTTCCAGTCTCGACTACAACTACAGTGTTTGAGGGCGGGGCAAAGTAGACGTCGTTCACGAGCAGCCAATGAAAACCATAAGCTGGCAATATGCAAATTTGTTAGTTCCATTGTTATGTAGGTTTGTAACAGTCGGCAGTTCAGAAACAATTATTTCTTTTAGAAGAAAATAACTTTATTTGTCCTGCACTTTGATCATTAAAACTTTGCAGATCTTTTACATTCACAAAGAGCTAATTACACCCTGTATGAAAGGTAAAATCCAAAAAAGCATAATTAGGGCACTTTAACAATAAACAATTATTATTTTACACCATATTTACTCTGATATTAGGGAGTAAATTAATACTGCCATGACTCTGTGCTCAAATCTTGTCTGGCACACATGTCCTGTATCAGGCCGGAGCAGCGACAGCTAAAGACGCTGAGTCAGTCAGCTGGACATGACGTGATGTTCGTAACAGTGCGCCCGCAGCAGGATCTGCAAGTGTTTTCTGAAACATGAGCAGCTCCACTGTAACATTCTGTTCCACAGCTGCTCATTCCACATGATCGACGGACAGATAATCAGCATCTCACAGCCTCATTCACCTCAGCACCAAAACATCACATTAGCACCCTGTCACTGTACTGGCCTACACACACACACACACAGTGGGAAATCAGAAGCATATCTAACTTGGATATTGAACTCATCTGACCCCGTTCATTGAAAACAGCCATAACGGCAAGTGACTAGGGCTGTCACTTTTGTGAAAAAAATCCTGTTCGATTTTTGAGATATAAGTGTTCATTGAATCGATTGTAAAATCGATTTTCCATGTCTAAAGACGTTTCCATTTTCAACACCAAATATAGGCAAATCCACGGACACCTAACAGGCATTAGGACGAGCGTAAAGAGGGCGCTTGAGACGCGCGTGCACAAGTCAGCAATATTTCTGATGATTTATTGGCGTGAAGTTTTGTGCACAATGACAAACAGGAGCGCAACATTCAGGGATTGAAATGAACACTTATTTAATGAACTTTGTCAGGTAATGCTGTGAAATCACGAGCCAATCTGGCGTGTTTCTATGTTTACTCACTTACTTTGCAGGGGAAGTTTGTGTAAGCCAAATCTATGCGGATTTAGCGCAAATAGAGGGAATGCATTAACGTCACTTCCCCGCCGGAACACGCCCCCCTCAGCGGGACTGAGTGGCAGAAGAGCTGCTGCGTGACTGGAGTTAATAGGGGAAACTGCGTTAACGCGAGTAAAACAAACTATTATCAGTTTAAACTAAAAGTTGGACTCGATATAGTGTTCCTTACAACTTATCAAAGATCCAGTGATCCATGGATATTGACATGCAGCCAGGAATCGTGTTTCCTGACATTTATATGTGCCTGATTTCGACGCCGGGGAAATAAATGAAGACAATTTGCCTGTAAACGTTTTATATAAATGCAATATAGATAGGTCTAAATCTGAGTGATCACTTACATTAATGTTATACTGTTATACTCATCATATCGTCCAGCCCTAAAACTTGTATAGTTTTGTGTCAGTGTTTATTTAAAAACATCCAATTATGCAGAATATAGTCTGTTCTGTAGCTTTTTGCAGTCTGTAAAAATATACAGTACCTCAGATTTCTGGTCAAATCTAGTTGTACAGTCAATCGCAAAGCTCTTTCCCGTTTTAGATGTGTTTTGTGTGATTTTCACGGCGTTCACGCTGAAAACAAATGCTGCCGCTCAGTCTTTTTGCCACTTGTGGGCGTGACCGCATTCACTCCGGCCGACGGTGACGTCATGCGCATACCCTCTATACGCAACTCGTGAGTCCTCATGATATATTAAATACAGCGTATTGTGCGGAATCTGCGCATTTCTGTCTTACTTGAACACACACACACACACACGTCACTACGCAACAAATAACGGCGCGCTCATTCACTTGCATTGAAGTAATAGCGAATATTAAAAAGCATTTGGTTAACAGAAAAGACATTGTTATTTTCCGACATCCTACATGTTCTGTGTGCTGTATTGATCGGTCCACCTAAAAACACATTTTTTGTAAAAAAAAAAAAAAAAAGGCTGTTAAAATCGATATTTTCGTTTTCGAAACTTGTGTTGGTTGGTCCGATCGATTGTGCAATCGATTTTCGAACGTAAAGTGACAGCCCTACAAGTGACATTCCTGTCCATATTTCCATAGTTCAATTGATAATGCTTTAGTTCATTCAAAACTCTTTTAGAATTGTGCATGCAGCTTTCATTACATCATTAACTCAGAAACTAAATATTTCTACTTGCTTTTAAAGATGTCATGCACTAGAACCATTTTAAATGAATTGATTTAATTGTGTAGGTTTAAACCTTTAGCCTAAGTCTGTTGACAGGTTTTGCCTCGACTACCATAAACACTGTCTGGTCGACTCTAATGCCAACAGAGCATAGTGTCGGTCAACTGCAAACTGCAGGGTGCTGGAAGAGCGAGAAACTTGATATCACAGAGGGAGAGAGAGCATGTGAACAGCTTCGTGCTCCAGTCTCACACTACAGCGCTCCCACCAACACCCGACAAAACCTCCACAGAACGTCAACTCCACCATACTCTCTCGACTGGCTCGCACTGAGGCTTTCAGGCACTCGCAGAAGAACGGCGCGCTGCAGGGAAAACGCTGATGTTGCTCTTTCCACCACAACCTCCAGAAGGCTGGCACATCCCAGACGAACTGTTCCATGGAACCTGACCTCGGGCGCAGAATGTCTATTCCTATCACGCAATGACCGCGTTTGTTCAAACTCCTCATGGCCAACTGGGAATAGCGAGAGACTCTAGTGATATGGAAAAGCTACAGATTAAATGTGCTCCAAAACTATCATTCTGCATTATACCCCGATGAAACTGACGTATGCCACTTCCAAAGCTGTGGATGCCGAAGCACCTGACAATAAGTTAATTCGGAATTTTTTTTTTTTTTTTTAGCACAATGATGTGTTGGACAGCTTGATATTTAGTCATATTCAACTGAATGCCTGAAACAATAACACACAGAAAACACAAGATTAAAAGACATTTAATAATGGGATATTTTCCAATCTGTATTATATATATATATATATATATATAAATAAAAGCCAGACAGTAAAGGTGAACCATGTGATTTTAAGCAAATTAGAGCTGTTCAATGACATCAATCAGTAGGACGAACCGGAAAGCTAATTTAAAACGAGTGCAACAGTGTCTGCCTATTTTTTAAGCAATTTTACCCAATAAATTATTGTTCCATAGAGAATTTATTAAAAAAAGTTGTCGTTTGTTTTGGTTATACGCCATGAACCAAATCGACCAGATACAAGGTGGATCACAAACTTTGATTTGAAGCAGAATTTATTTATTTGCAGCTATATTAGAAAATATGTGCTTTAACAGAGGAAAGAAAGATCTACAATCCCATAAAGCACTGCAAATGACAAAATTGAATGGATAAATTATATGTAATAATAATAAATATATATATGAATTATTATATACAATTTATCCATTCAATTTTGTCATTTGCAGTGCTTCATGGGATTGTATTTATTGTATGGGATAATAATTTCTTTTATTTTTATTTTCCAACAAATTATTGATACATACATCATTTAGAGAACTTCATTGTAGTGTTCTTATGGCATGATTTGATTGGTGGTAATTTCTTTGCAGAATCATGGGTAATTGTTGTTAAGCAATTATTTTCAAAAGTTAAAATAATGCAGCCTGATGGCTTCAACAAAAGCATGGGCTAAAACATTGATTAACAGCCTCGTATCTCACAATAGGTCTGTCTTTAACGTTTCATAAGCTAATTTATGTTTAAAATTAATTCCACTTTGGAGAAAATGTATGGGATTTTTACTTCCGGAACCCAACGGTCACACACTATAGACCTCATGCGCCAGAGAAACATCACTGTCGAAGAGTAATTAACTGGTTAAGTGGATTTACTTATTGTAGAGTTAACGAAAGTTATCATGATGTTTGAAGCGGATATCATAACAAATGTCAGCAGACCGGGAAGATTTTAAGATGAGGGGTTCATTCATAAATACCGGTATGCAAGACATTACATTCAAGGGGCGGAGCTACATAAGGTCTATAGGTTCCCTCAGGAATTTTCTTTAGTTATTTATGGTTCGTTTACACAACAGAGTTTTCGAATTAAAACTGAAAACTTTTAATGTGTTTTGGCTAGGGCTGGGCGATATGACCAAAATCTCATATCACGATAGAAGTCATCTCATATCCCGATAACGATATATATCACGATATACTGTAAAACATCAAATAATAGCCCGGGCTTTTATTTTCCCAAATCGCCGAACTGCACCGGCTTGTATTTGAGGCAGGCGTCTATGAGACAGGCCTTTAATTTAGTGTAGGCCTAGAGATAACGAAGATTACGTTTTATTTATAAATGTGTTTAACAAATCCGTTAATCTAAGAATTAGCCTAGGCTACTTTATTATGTCTAAAGGGGGTCGCTCACCGGACGAGAAGCGCGCGCGCCGTGTCTATAGCAACTCGAGGTATCGCACACCGGACGCGCGCTGTCAGTTTATGGCCAGCAAATTGTTATGTTTAAGGACATTATGGAATTAAGATCATGTCTGTACTATGTTATGATAGTACTGTACAATTAAATACAATCGTTGCTTAGTCTGCAGTCTGAACACTTTACCTCAGAGCGTCCGTTAACTGAATGAATTGGGAATATCACCTGAAAATCCGATAACAGCATCAATTTGAATTCAACCAGCTGATTTCTGTAAATGAATGTACAACTAAATGTATGTTGCAGCACAGGGTGAAGTCAGTATATACATAACGATAATTGTACATTTAATATAACCATAGCTTTTAGATTATTGGCAGAATTAAAAAAAAACGAAACGATGTGACAGCCATGGGCTGAACAATACATTACTGGTAATATCCATCGAGCCTATGAACTTGTTGCCCGAAACACATCAACAAGAAAGAATGAAGGCTATACCCTGTAAAACGATCTCCTTCTCTCTCCGGCCTCCGCTAACTCTGCTTGCGCTAACAACTCCGCCCAGATGCGCGCAATCTGCACCACAGAACTGGTTTAAACAGACGATCTGACGGGTTTTAGAAGATTAAATACAAACCGAAACTAAAAAACAGACCAGGCCTCTATTTGAGACTGGCGTTTATTTATCCAAACCACCCTAAAATGGTCAATACAACAAATAGAAAGTTAACCAAACCATCTAGCCCCTCGTTTAGGAACGAGCTCCTCGGTTTGTTCTGGCTGGTTCTTCTCCTGCTCGGAAACACCCGGTTCTGTCACCCCTTCATTCATGCTGTTATTCACGTTTCTGCCTGCATCCCCATGTGGCGTGAAAGATTGCAGTCATCCAAATTTTTGCCGTAAACAATGTTTTTTTGCGACACCACGATATAAACGATATGGCATAATATGAAACGATAGGCTTTTTATATCGTCCATCCGATATATATCGTCATATCGCACAGCCCTAGTTTTGGCCATTCATTTACACAACAAACTTTTGAAAACAATATCGCCATTGTCTCCGTTTTCACAAATTCACGTTTTTGTAGTTTACACAGTGACGTCATGCACATGTGTATTAGGTGTTCAATAGGCTTTATGCCGAGCGTCACGTGACCAAACCGGAAAACAGGTCTCATTGCATCCGCTTGTCAGAGAAAGTGTTAACGGCCGTAAGAACTAACTACGATATCTATGGATTTTTAAGGTAATCAGCTAACCTACTAAGTTCACTTTGTTATTGGTGTTTTATGCTGTTTAAAAATCTAAACGTTAGTGTGAAGAAGAAAAATTAAAAAAACTTTTAAATATCAATCTGCACATGCGAGGGACATTGGTTATGCTCATTTTTGCGTGCTCCTTTTAAGTTATCTTAAGTAAAACCGCAAAAAATTTCATGAAGCACATACAAAAGACCTGAATCGGAAGCGATGTGACCTGTTTTCCGGCTTGGTCACGTGACGCTCGGCATAAAGCCTATCTATTGCCGCGTAGTTTTTTCTTTACAAAGTAACATCGCCAACTACTGGCCTGGCATGAATAATGGAGCGTTTTTAAACGTTTACGCAGAACCATGTGAACAGGGATCATTTTGATAACGTTGTCAGCTGTATGAGAACAACGCAAAGGAAAAACTTTTCGCATTTTAGTACATTCAGGGTTCCTACAGGTTTCTTCAAGTTAAATTCAAGTCTTTTTAAGACCTTTTTAAGATCATTTATATAAAAATTTAATACCTATTTCACATCTCTACCAGCAAAGAAAAACAAAATCCTTGAACTTGTTCATTTATTTTTCAAATGTGGAATGGGTAAAAGATGATAAGCCAAGCAGGTGTGAAAAATAAAAACATTTCAGTAGGCCACAAGAAAGTTTGCCGAACAATGTTAAAGTTTTTTATTAACATTAGCTAGCTACTTATTCCATGCTGGGAATATGGGGAACTGAGAGACCCCTGAACATTAAACATCGAAAATTATAATAATCGTGGTTGACAAATGAAACTTTTGAGGAAAAATACAATACGGAGAAGTTACATACAGCACAATTTTTAAAACCCAGACATCAAAATTCAAGACTTTTTAAGGTATTATTTCCAAATGAATAAATTCAATGCTTTTAAGGCTTTTTAAGACCCCGCGGGAACCCTGTACATTGTTCTCATGTAAATGTGTCCTTAGAATAGCGGCTTTATGACTGTAGACTGAACATTATCACTATAATGATTTTCTTCAAACAGGTTTCCTCAACCACCATGCGCCATTGGTCAGTCAAACAAATAGCCCCGCCCCCAGACTCACGCCATTGGTTAGGCCAGTGTTGTTGCCTTGTGCTGGTACTGAGCAATGATATTTACATTTTTCAGGGAAATAACTGTTGAATGGCTAACTTAGTTGTCTTTGCATATGCAACTGGGATATGATTAATTGATCCAAAGGAAAATTACACACTTCTCTTCCTCGTGTTAAAGTCACATAGCAAAAAATGCTGAGAGAGACAGACTATCTCGAGGATATGACCTTCATCCTAAATATTGTATCAACTGTTTTAGAGTATCCATAGCAGTTCAATGACGTAATCATTAACCGTTTGCTTCTATGCAGTATCATATGACGTAACGGGAGTTCAACGGTCGCCTCGATTTCTTTAACCAGTAAACGTGCGATTCACTAAACGTTTTAACGCTCTTTAAACAACACAAGTGAAGGAATTAACTTTAAAATAATTACACATTTTAACGGTTAATGTCCTATCTCAGAACAGAGTTCAAAGAACACCCTGTTCCAGGAAGTAACACTTACTTCAAGCGCGCTTGTTGTCGTTTTAGCACAACCACGTTATGGCTACTCGGAGGATATTTATTAATACTCTACAACCAGTTTGAAACAAATATCACGTCTAGTTAGCTCTCAAGATGATCATACAGTGTTAGGATGCAACTCGTTGTCTATTGTTTTGAGCTAGCTATAGCTACTCTCATATATATAGGCATTTTTAATACACCAGCTGACAAAAACAATCTCGCGAATTGCCAATTGATGAATAAGGGTATGAACTCATGAATTTTTGCAACCTCTGAACACAAACCGGTTGGAATCCCGAGGTTTGCTACATTTGATGATGCTCTAACCTCATGCTGTACGCGCCAGCTCCGAGCTCCTGGCCGATGCCAGACAAACTGGCATCGAAGTCGTGCACAAGCCCCGACTCGATGGTCGCATCGTCCATCTTCAGCACCCACGCCATGGCGCCCAGATCCTTCTCCTCCGACTCTAACCGGAGCGCCGCCAGCTTCGCCTCGTACACACAGCACCTGCGCGGGGCTCGCGTTGCCGCAGGAGTCGGCTAGTCCCACTAGAGTCGGTTAGGTGGCCACCCGCGGAAGGCTAGCTGTTGAAAGCAGGGCAAACGGCTCTAGCCCTGACTGCCGTGTACCTCGCCATTGCTTCAGTTTCACAGTAACAGAGGCGAGAAATAACAGTCTCGGGAGGAGCTGAGGCGTCGCGAATCGACTCAACACCGTATGATCCGTTTCCAGCTCCCGTATGTTATCCCGTTTGCATCAACACATCATATCTGTATGCGATCTTCCATTATATAAAGCAGGGTGGGAGGACGCTGTTGACTGTCACCGCATTCACACGCAATGTCCGTTGGGCTGGCTGGCAGAGCTCGCGCGCGCTCACCTAACGTTAATCCTAAACGCAGCACGGTGTTTTTACACTCGCTGTCCTCCGAAAGCGCTCCCGTAATTTCATCGTGCTGCTGCAGACCCCGAGGTTTGATCTTTCTTTCGGAAGAGGCCAAAGATCACGACACATCGACACGGCCCTCCGTCTGCCACCATTCAAACGCGAGATTCGCTAGATTCGCTTCAGCCGCAGCAGGGATCCGGGTCAGGAATCTGACAGCCAATCACATTCCTCTGCGAGACGCGCTCAGCCAATCGGCTTCCGACTGTCTGTCGTCATCGTCTCCTGGTTAGAGCTCCGATACAGCTTCCAAACAAAATGTAACCTTTAACTTGCAGCGAATAAATTAAACGACATGTCAGTCACCTGGTGGAAGAAATGCAAACCTGTAGCATATTCGATTTATTTATTAAATTATGTTTTATTATTATAGGATTTAGCTTTTTTGATCAATGAGTAATTTACACATTTAAGTTCAAGACTGAGGTCCATATCAGCATGGCTGTAAAATTACAAAAATATAGATATCGACAGATAATTATTATATATTTTTTGCGTGATATATTCCGCTCCTACCAGGGGCCAGTTGCATAAAGCATAAACATAACCATCATGTTAAGACTGTGCCTTAAAGGGATAGTTCACCCAAAAATGAAAATTCTATCAAGTTTTTCCAAACCTGTATGAATTTCCTCAGCTGAACACAAAAGATGATATTATAAAGAATGCCAGTACACAAACAGTTGTGGGGAACCATGGACTTCCATAGTATTTTTTTTTCATACTATGGAAGTCATGTATACAATCAACTGTCTTGGTTACCAACATTCTTCAAAATATCTTCTTGTTCAGCAGAAGAAAAACTCAAACAGGTTAGGGAGAGTAAATGACAGCACTCTCATTTTTGGGTGAACTATCTTTTTAAGAACTAGTATGACCAATTAGCAGCTAGCTATGGTTAATCAACTTGTCTTTTAGGTATCAAATTAGACCAATATACATTTTTATGTAACTGACTTAAAAATATCTTTAAGAAAAAAAAAAGATTACTAATTTGTAAGACTAGCTGAGGCTTTTGTGGTTGTGGTCTGGACAGGAAGGCACACAGGCCTATCAACTTATATAAATGTATATATATAGTAATATAACATTTTATATGATAAATTAATTGTATATTATTTGAAATTTAACCAAGAAAATATATTCAAATAGAAAACGGTTTGTAAATTGTAATATTTCACAATTGTGTTGTTTTTACTGAAATAAAATCAAATATTTTGATCAAATAAAAACAGCATGTGTGAGCATAAGACTTAAAAAAAGAAAGAAAGAATGATAATACTAACCTATATGATTTTCTTTTTAAAAGCCCATACAATCAAGTTGATATTTTGAAAAAAAGTCTTTTGTTTTTGTCCATACAAAGAAAGTCAAATGTTCGGATTGGTTTCATTATGGACAGAAAGTGGAAACATTCTTCAAAATATCTTCTTTTATGTACAACAGAAGAATGAAAATCATAAAGGTGAGAAAATGGTGACAGTTTGCATTTTTAACCCTTTAATGCATAACTCGCATTTTACCTTTCATACATTTGTTGTATTTAGTTTTTAAGTGACAGAGAAATAAAAAGATAAAAATGAGACAATTAGTTCATTACTGTACATTTTCTTTATTTTAATTTCATCGTTAGCACAGGTCTAGAAATGCAGCGGGAAGAAAGAGAACTTCCTCACGGGGGAGAAAGACCGACACTACAGGAAAGAAGTGACGAGACAGTTGCGGGATTTAGATGCGTAAATACATTTCTACAAATTTCCCATCAGAGAAGAATGACACTATGCTACTTAAAAGAATCCACACACCCTCAGGACGTCACAAGATCTTCTTGAATATTCCTTTGTTAAGGTATATATAGATACATATTGCCTATGTGGTGTGGCCTCGCCGCGATGAGAATCTCAGGTGTGTGTGGCGGCTGATGCGGGGCCTGTTGTACGCAACCAGATAAAAAGGTTCAGTTTAATTCATGACATGCATATAGCCAAGCAAAGTATGCCTTCTAATAGAGCAAGCTGGACCAACCGCTCATTGTTATGAACTGATATGACCATTAATAATCGACAGTGAGCAATTAGGAACGTTAATGACACGTCGCTCAGACCAAGAAGTTTTGAACTTCATCTTAAAAATCTGAGTGTCTCAAAAGCTCTTTGATAAAAAGAAATGATCTCCATGTTGCACAAAATGACACCCACGACTCTCTCTGCCGGGTTTCCGCCCTCCTCCAATGTTTTGCCTCTGGCACACACACTCGTAGACACAATCTTCTCTCATTGACAAGGTGACAAAACTACATCAGACCACCACCCGGTCTCTCAGACACGAACACGGAGCGATGGTGATCCTAGTTGGGAAGAAGCGTTTCAATCCGACTGGAAGGTGATGTGGGGCCGGAAGGAGGGTGTCCAGCAGTGTAGGTGGCATGCGGCTTTGCGTATCTGTATGCAAGCGGGTGTAGGTGTTTGTTTGTGTATGCATGTGAGTTAAAAAGCCAGCTAGGGTCCCCTGCACTAAGAGAGTGCTGTAGTTCTGAACAGTGACGGCACGGCTACAGGCCCTGCCCTCCCAAATCTGAAGACTGGTCACTTCCACTGGAGCCGCTCTGCGCTCGCTTTATGTACAAATTCAACAGTTTCAGCTGGGAAGAGAGAAAATGTGCATGTTATAGATTACTCTATAAAGACAGAGCGATAGTGAGAGTAAGGAGGGGAAAAAAAAAAAACAGACGGAAAGTGCTCACCTTGCTGCCGGACAGCTGGCTGAGGTGAGGTTTCAGATCCTCTCCAATGACAGCATAGACGGCCACAAGGCAAAATACACACGCCTTTCGTACACTGCTCTCAGAGTTATCATAACCCTGCGAATGAGAGAAGATTACAATCAAAAACATGCAGGGAGAAGCTTTAAAATAGCCCAATTATGCTTTCAGATTCACAATTATACAACAGGTTTACATCAAAGACCAAAAACATTTAAATTTTCTCATAATTTACATTGCAGCATCAGCTCTTTTCTCTCAGTGTCTGAAATGGTTCAATCAAGAATTCGGTCTCACTAAACCCCTCCATTCTGAGAGCCTGCTCTGCTCTGATTGGTCAGATGGCTCATCTGTTGTGACTGGTCGACTGCTTACAGAGTGTGTCAGAAACGCTCATAGCTGCGTGCTTTCACTCTGGAAGTTTAGTTTGAAACGGGGCACGGATTGCGTGAAAAATTGCTAATGTGAAAGCAGTGGTGCGGACAGAAGTGCCGTTTACTCTGCTGCGGCATAATAGCACCAAATTTATATAAAACACACTATATATTGAGTTCTGTCATGTGGCGTGCACGTTTGTGATGATGTAAGAGGAACGCAAGTGCACCAGGGAATTAACACCTGTTCACACCAGGAGAGATAACTATATTAGAATCCATGCCAGTGTACAATAAAGTTCTGTTTCTTCTGATTGGCTGCCAATGCTTTATCATTAATCAAATGGTATCTGCAAGGATTTCCAGTCAGGTTTAGATCGTATCATAGTACTGAGACTGCTCTAATTAGAGTTACAAATGATTTGCTCTTATCCAACCGTGGTTGTATCTCTCTATTAGTGTTACTGGATCTTAGTGCTGCATTTTATACTATCGACCACAACATTCTTTTGAATAGACTCAAAAATGACTTTGGCATTAGTGGAATTGCATTGGCATGGTTCAAATCATACTTATCTGACCATTACCAATTTGTAGCAGTAAATGAAGAGGTGTCATATCAATCACATGTTCAGTATGGAGTACCACAAGGCTCAGTACTAGGACCATTGCTTTTCACGCTGTACATGCTACCCTTGGGAGATATCATTAGGAAGCATGACATTAGCTTTCACTGTTACGCTGATGATACTCAGCCCTATACTCTAGAACCTAGAAAACTGTCTAACACTTGATGGCTGCTCTGTCAAGTCTTTGTCGTCAGTTGGGAACCTGGGTGTGCTTTTTGATACCAAACTTTCATTTGAAAGCCACATTTCTAGCATCTGTAAAACTCCATTCTTCCATCTTAAAACTATATCTAAATTATGACATATGCTCTCAATGACAAATGCGAAACAGTTAGTTCATGCGTTCATGACCTCAAGGCTAGTTTATTGTAATGCTCTACTGGGTGGTTGCCCTGTACGCTTAATAAACAAACTCCAGCAGGTCCAAAATGCAGCAGCTAGAGTTTTTACCAGAACCAGAAAGTATAACCATATTAGCCAGGTTCTGTCAACACCTCATTGGCTCCCTATTAAACATTGTATACATTTTAGCTAATTACCTACAAAGCACTAAATGGTTTAGCTCCTCAGTACTTGAGCGAGCAATAAACGCATTACAGTCCTTCACGTCTATTTGCGATCTCAAAATTCTGGACAGTTGATAATAATTAGATTATCAATATCAACTCCAGTCAGTAGATCCTTTTCCTATTTAGCACCCAAAGTCTGGAATAGTCTTCCTAGCCTTGTTCGGGAAGCAGACACACTCTGTCAGTTTAAATCTAGACTGAAAACACATCTCTTTAACCTGGCATACATATAGCACATTATCAGTTTCTATAAATCAAATCAGTTAAATTATTGTTAGGCTGCATGAATTAGGTCAACCGGAACCGGTAACACTTCCTATAACACCCGATGTACTTGCTACATCGTAAGAAGAATGGTATCTACACTAACATTAGCCTGTCCGTCTCATCCCTAACCCGAGGTTACCGTAGTCAGCCGGATCCGGTCCGTATCCAGATCAGATGGTGGACCTTCACCTAGACACGACCAAAACGCAGCCCTGAATGTCAGCAGAGACCGTGTCAACTAGACAATCCCTGTGAAGGCCTCGTCGACACGACAGCCATCGGCACAGATCCTCAGCAGGGATCACAAGAACCAGACAGGTCCTCCGCACAGACCTTATGGCCAGCTTTGGCTCCATACCGGCGTGATGAATCGATCTTCAAGCAAAAGGAACTGGATGAATATTTGAATGCTACCGATCCGGATCTGAATTTTGACTTGTGAAGCAGCCTGAATCATAATGACACCGTGTTCGTTC